TTTAGCTTCATTTTAAAACCTTCCCCAGCTTTCTAACATTCAAAATGGCGGAGAAATCTTTGAAATACTGACAGATAAAACATAAAAAAACACTTTCGAGAAAAACGCAAAACAAGTTTTTACTTGTACACTTACTTGGGCCCTTAATACAGACAATCGTTTTTGAGTTTAGAAAGTATTCATTTTTTTTTCGCCTTTCGTCTAATTTGCGTAGTTTACTTGATTGCAGTTCTGAAATTAAAGTTTAGATATGGTTTTGTAGAGAGCATTTCACGGCGCTTCTTTTAAAGAAACATTAACCTTAGGGTCCAAAAGGAACACGAGAAAAATAGAAGATACTGAGAGACTCATTCTTTCTGCCGCACTTGCTACTTCTTTTTTTCTCTCATTCTTTGAATCAATTTGCCTGAAGATGAAACGACCCGTGCAAAAAGGATCCAATTTTTTGGGTTATTAATCCAGATTCATCTCCATTAAATGATGCGCATGGAGCTGATTCTAGATTAATAACCCAAAATATTGGGTTGTTTTTGCTTAGGTCGAGAAGCTTCATTTAAAAAAAAAAGCTCATAAAAAATTTTAAAGTTTTGTGTTCTTATATATCTTAACATTAAAGCTTTTTAAAAGAACACTTTTATTCAAAACTAGTTTAGTGTCTATTGCTTCATAACAAATCTGTTTGACTAGCATTTAATCGTATCACTTTATTAACTACTATTAACAATATCTTTTAATTCCAACATGGAAAACCATCCTGTTAATTAGAATCAGGTGTTCATAGCCGGGTTGACTTATCATTCTTTCTAGGGTTTAATGGGAGCGCCGGGAATACCCGGACCTATTGGTGTAATTGGACCGACGGTATAATACCATTGTTGCGACTTCTACAACTTTTTTAATAAGAATTCTTTTCAAGGGTCCTCGTGGTGAAACCGGACCTCCGGGTAATTTAGGTCCAATGGGTTTACAAGTATGTGACAAATCCCTTTAAAATGAAATGTATTTTCTATTGACTATTCATTTTTTATTTTTGCAGGGACCTATTGGACTTGTAGGCTCTACGGGTGAAGCTGGAAAGCCAGGTGAAAGAGGAGACCCCGGACCACAAGGACCAATTGGTCCACCGGGACCACCTGTAAGTAAGCTCTTATCATTCATTTATTCTCATGAAAATTTATAATATACAATTGATAAAAAAGCGAAAATCTACGCTGTAAAAAAACATTGTGTAAATGACACACTGGAAGTGAACGCCTAGCCCCAGTAACCGTCTAGAATATATCGTGTATATGTCTAAAATACACACTGAGACCAATGATACAGTCTAGTTCTACAAACTGTCTGTGCTGAAAGATGCTTCACGCAGGTTCAACACGGCTTCGACAAAGCCCGTAAACGGCCGTAAAATCGATTTACGATGCTGTAATCCTCTGATCTGTAATTATGGTCGTGAACGGTTTCGTAAAAGGATGTTTACCGCTGCAGTGTTACGGAGCGTAGGATTAGGGCCAAACTACGTCAAGTTACGACCATTTACAGCATGTTACGGTACAGTGCACGGTAGTAATTCGCCGTATATGACCATCATAACCAATAACCTGGGCAGATTCAATGATCGATTGTTCGAATCTCACATATAGCGATGGTTTTTTTTCACTTTTTTTGTTATCCGTTTTGCCTCAGAATGACAGTATATATACTTTTAAAGACGGTGATCACGATTTTGAAATTACGTTTTCATCTGATGCAGTAGCCAGCGAGAAAAATGAAAAATACTAAAAATTTTTAATACGCTTAACATTTAACTCCCTGACATTTATCGTCTAGAAAAAGTACATAATTTCGATGCCGAGCGAACATTTAGACCATTTTACACACCTATTAACATGCTTATTTTTACAATGTATAATTCTGCAAGTTTAGCCGAAATTAAGAAAACACAACGGGATCTATCTTAATTACTATGGATTAATCAAATTTTAGGGGCCTCAAGGATTCACGGGTGAAAGAGGATTTACGGGCGAACGTGGCCTTGAAGTAAGATGTCACTTTCAATATCTATTGAAATTTTTGAATATCATAATAATCTTTTAGGGTGCAAAAGGCGATACTGGTTTGCCTGGACCTCCGGGGACTATCGGTGAAAAAGGTGACAGAGGGGAGGGCGGTCCTGATGGTCCTCCAGGACCACAAGTAAATAATATCAATTCGATAAGAACAAAAAGTTTTATATTATGTTATGTTCGCAGGGAGCAATTGGACCAGTTGGTCCAACAGGTCCGATGGGACCAAAAGGAAATCGAGTAAATTTCTAAAATCACTAAAATACAGCGAGTAATTAATGGATGTATTCTAACATAGGGTGAAGATGGTGCAACTGGACCTCAAGGGCCCGAAGGACCACAAGGTGTGCGGGTAAGTAAAAACAAATTTCTTCTTTATAAATTCTTGAATGGTTATGACTTGATTATTACTTAAAAACAATATTCATTCTTTAGGGTCCACCAGGTGCCACCGGACCACCAGGGCAACAGGGGATCCTAGGAGAAAAGGGGGATAGAGGAGAATCAGGTCTGAAAGGAAACCAAGGGGCAGCGGGTAAAGAAGTAAGTACTCAATTTGTTGACCTTCCAAAATTCTGTCAAAAATTATAATCTATATCAATGCGTATCGAATAAACGAAGTTTTATTAATCTAAAAGAATATCTCACAATAAGTCTTATTTCTAGAAGTCAAAAAGTCCACAATCAAATTTCAGCTCTGATTGGCCTCATTTTGTATAAACAAATCACAAGATGAATTGTAATTTTTGTAATAACAATTGTCAAAAATAAATATTTTTTTCTTAGGTTAAATAATTTAATAGTAGAATCCTTTCGTTTAATAAGTATTATAATTTTTGGTAGATATATCATCGATAACGTTGGCTATATTTATGTTTCTCTCCTATTTTTTTGTAGGGTCCCCGGTAAAGGAGAAAACGTTTTAATTTACGACTGAATATCATAGTATTTTTTACTTTTATTTCCTAGTGGCTTGCCTGGGACTCCAGGTCAAAGAGGCGAGACGGGACCTATGGGTCCGACTGGTGAACCAGGTAGGAAGTTTTAGTCTTAAAATTATTTTGATCAAGTAATTAGCTACAATTTCATGAATTAAAACCAAGTGTGTTAAACACTACTGGCTTTAAGTAATGCAAGACAATAACAGATTCTCCTACCTTTTCATCTGTTTTAGGAATAAGAGGATTACAGGGCCAAACCGGACCACCTGGACCTGAAGGTAAGTGTTGTAGGCAACTATTTTCTTCTATGATTAATTTCAAAACTTTGGATTTTAGGGAAAAGAGGACCTGCCGGTTTGCCTGGTAGCATCGGGAAACAAGGTTTGCCGGGTGTAGCGGGACCAAAAGTAATTCTTCTAATAGCTCTTCGGTACGGATAATTTTATTTCCTTTTTTTCTGCTGCTAGGGTGAGCGGGGAGATGAAGGTCAACGTGGAGCTCAGGGTGCTCAAGGTGTCGACGGCCCTATTGGCCCTCCTGGAAAACCGGTTTGTATTAACAAGAGAAAAACTCATTGGAGCAGGAAAATTTTTATCATGGTTTTTCTAGGGTGATATAGGCCTACCTGGACCAATAGGCTCAGACGGGCCACAAGGAATAAGAGGTACACATAAACACGGAATGTCTGACAATTCTGCTAATTTCTGTCGCAGTCCCTGCGTGAAAAGCCAGTGTTTAAAAGATCGTATTTTTGTGTGCAAACAATTTTTATTGTTTTCTTTATTTTTACAAAGGAAAATAAGGAACAATAAGATTTTTGGAGAGCTACTAGTATTAGATGGCGTGAAATACTAAGTGAATTAGTTGCTTCAGTTTATTCATAAAATCTGAACTTTATGTCAACTATTCCACAGTTTAATAAAATTTTCTAATCTCCTTTTTTAGGAGAACCTGGACAAATGGGCAGTCCAGGAGTCCAGGGACAACCCGGTCCACCGGTCAGTTAGAATAAGTTTTGGTTTTTTGTAATTATTCTGTTGAGCTGAAAATGCGTACAGAATCTATCTAAATTCTGTTTTCCGTTTAGGGTCCAACTGGTTTGACTGGAGCAAAAGGAGATATGGGATTAATAGGCATCCCAGGAGGTATGTTCTTTCAAACGAATTACACAATACACAATTCATGCATATCTTTCCACTGTGGACACATAATCCTAGCGGGGTTGTTTTTGCATTTCTTCACTCAAAATCTTGAATTTTACATTCTTTCTTATTTCTTACAGCGCCTAGACTCAAGAATTTGCACTAGGATAATACTGTCTGCTTAACATTTGTTTTAGATCCAGGCAAACCTGGTTTACCCGGTCATCAAGGTCCAAAAGGCCATGCAGTAAGTTTATAAGCTGATGTGTCTGCTTTTTGGTCGAATAAACTTTGATCAACTTCTGACATAAATTTGGATAACAATTTCAAATTATTTTTATGTCAACCACAGTAGAATATTTTTTAAAATTCTAGAAGAAAATGATACTTTATTAACGTTGCCAGTTTGTAAGATAAGAATAAGATGTTACTGTAACTTCCCTAAGCCCTTTAATTTTTCTAGCTGGTTCTGCACATCAGCTCATTTAACATCTATAGATTTATTCGGTATAGGTCACATACGAGATTGAGGGTATTGATTTAAGTTTATATGTACAGTTCATTTCATTCTCTAAACAAAGTTTTCTGATATATTGAATGACCATTGTGTTTAGGGTCAAGTTGGTGCACCTGGACCTGTTGGACCCATAGGACCACCAGGACCAAAGTAAGTATTATTTGTGGCATTCTTGTCTGATCAAAATATAACTATTCCTTTGTTTATCTTGAAGAGGTGAACGTGGAAGTACAGGAGATCCTGGACGTGACGGAAGTAAAGGACAACGTGTATGTAGTACAAACTTGTGTACTCCTGACGTATTTAACAAAACATTCTTTATTGTAGGGAAACCCAGGCGTAACAGGAAAGCAAGGCGCACGTGGTCCAACAGGACCAAAGGTAATTAAATTAATACTTTGATATGAGTAACAAACAATTTGATTTGACTATTATTCATAAGCTGAAAATCGATAATTATTTTTGTTTTCTAGTAAATTTTAAATATACTAATCTTTTTCATTTTAGGGTCTCGATGGCGAAGTAAGTTAAATTTTATTTTTCACAGAAATTTTTTTTCCCAAAAGCATATTGCTGAGACTGATCTAATATGATTAAAATGCAAGTTTTATTTTTAAAAAGAAAGTAGTGATTTTCGAAAAAACATTTTGTACCAGGTCTATTGAGACAACAATATCCGCTTTTTGGTTCTCAGTTATATGACATGTTTCTATTTGTTTTAGGCCGGTTTAGTCGGACCATTAGGACCGCCTGGTAAATGAAAGAACTTTTTGCAACTAAACGCTGTTTTTAACTATTTTTTGTTGTCTTTTCAGGTGAAAAAGGTGATCGAGGTCCAATTGGACCAGCTGGACCACAAGGAGCTGCAGGAAAACCAGTATGCTACTTTGACGTAGAATGTAGAAACTAATACACTAGTTCAACAACAAAACTGAATAATTTTATTTTCTATTTACAACGGACGTTTTTTCATTTTGGTATTTTTTGTTCAAAGGGGATACAGGGAGTACAAGGCCCTCCAGGACCACAAGGCAATATTGGACCTCAAGGTGTTGCAGGGCCGCGGGGTGTTGCAGGTAAGAATTTTTTCTTCATGGTATCAATCTATTTCAGTTGTTCTATTTTTTAAGGTCCAACGGGTGACGTAGGACCAACTGTAAGTATTATCAAACATTTCCAAATTGTTAAAATTAAAAAAATTATCAGATAATCTATTGACTTGATGAAGCTCCCTAGTCCAGTCAGTGTGATCAAAATTTGGTTTAAAATTAATAAATTATTTGATATATGTGCATAGGTTTTGTTATCGTGTGTGTTACTTTTTGTCGTAAACTTTTGATTAATCATCATAAGAAAACTAAAAACTATTTTGATATGTTCTATGGATTTTATCAAAAGTACGTGGTAGTGATGAGTAATTGGATCGTAGGTATAAAATGTAACGTTGAACAATAAATATACTATCAATTTGACCCTGTGTCAAATTCCAGTTTTGTTGGTGATCCAAATATCGACGTCATTAAAACTGATAATTAAAATAAACATTTGCAATAGACTAATATTCCATCGGTTAAATCAAGTAAAATATTCCAAACAGACCATTCCACAGTGGATTGTCGACCATATTTGTAAAATGATTTATCCATATTTGGCATACGAAAATAGATACAGTAATGTTAATATGATTAATTGATGTAGAATAGTGAGAATTGATATAACAGATAAAAATAGAATAGTTATCGTAGCAATTATTATGGTTATATAGGATATACGTTGTTTTGATCATTCATAGAACAGACATTGAACAGTTGTTAATAGACAAGCGACGAATGCATAGAGACCTAACAGAATGTCGCTGAATAATACGAGCTCAACACCATGACGATGATGACAATTATTTCGTACATTATTGAATAGTAAACTTTTTCACTACTATATTTGAAAACAATATGAACATTTTGATTATGATTGATTGGTATTGCATTTGCTCCGTTAACTAATTGTATCGATATTATTGATTTTGTTTGAATAACTACGACCGTTAATGAACTTTGGTGCAAAGAGGAGTACATGGTCATGGATTGTTGATATTTTTGACAAATTTGATAATGTCACAAATTCTAAAATTAAACTCATTCGAATTGAAGAATAAACAAAAACATGGTTTAAGTTTTGAAATGTCTGTACCTGTCTATCGAAAGTCTATGGGGTGTTCCAGTTAGCTGTGTGGAAGAAAGAAAATTAAAATATTGTTTTAATAAGAAAAATATAAGAAAGAAAATTGCAGATTTCTCAGTGCGTGAAGAATTTGGAAGGGGGGCTGTAGTAGCACGTTAGCCCTCTATAACTTGCTATAACAAAAACAATCTCCAGTTCGGTTTTACACACCAACAACGAATTATTATTATGATAAAATATTTTACATAAAAACTAATGTACAATGATGAAATAGTAACAGTTAATAATAATATCTAATGGTTGTTGATGATAATAATTGATAATCGGCTTCTCTTC